ATATATAAAGTTTTTTTCTTAAGAAATGTTTGATAACTATCTGGAGATTATAAGGATTTTGCATGTGAAATTTCAAAATTTTGTGATGCATAAAAGTATTTTTAATCTTAAAATGAATATTACTTTGCATGATAGACATTATAGAGATTATTACTGTTTCTTATATGAAGCATGTTTCAGCTTCATCTTTCAGATTAAAGTTACCCAGTCATTTTTGCCAGTATTTATTGACAGTGAATTAAAACTTAGTGAATTTCCCTTAATTCATTTTCTGATGTCTATTCTAATAATTCATAATGCATGCTAACAAGAACATAAAATTTAGTTATACGACGAGCTCAAGAATTTCTTTTATGTTGTAGTTCCATTGGATTGGCAGTTCAGTTGATTATTTTTTATAATAGCACTTCATATTAACAACTGTTCTATAACAGAGGAAGAAGCTAGAAATGTGATTTATATTTATAAATAGTAAAAAAAATAAAGCTTTAATGGAAAGTAGGGATCATTTGTTATTCCTATAATTTCTATTGGTTGGCTTTGTAATCCATATAGCTAAATGAAGCAATCTAAATTTGCCAACCAAACTAAGAATTGGAAATTGTTTTAAAATCTATTCAACTAGTATCACTTTACTTGTTTGTGTACTTTTTATTGCAGCATTTATTTTGTTTTGGATACTTCTTTTAGCAATTCTACAATCTCTACTTTCCTTAATTTTTTTTTTTCCTAGTAAAGCTAGTATATAAACTCTTTGTAATAACTGATGAAAACATAAAACATCCTGTAGAGTTTAATTATGCACTAAGATTTAGTTGCTACTGCTGGTGTTTTTCAAAAATTATGTATTGTAAAAGTGAAATTTTGATTGCAGCTAGAAAACAGGTCCAAATCTCTTCAACAACAGCTAGAAGATTTAAAACAAAGGTGAGGCTACACCTTTTTTTTTTGTCATATTCTTGGTTTTAGCTATTTTTCTTTGTGATCTAAATGTTAGATTTTTTATTAACAATAGAATTGTAATATGTTAAATATTAATTATTCTATCATATTTCCTGATTATACTAAAGTTATGGTCATTCATGGTAAGCAGGTATTCATAATCAATTAATTTTTATGCATTCAGTAGAAGTGTTACTAATTATCCTGAGTTTTTATAGCTAATATAATTATATGTAGCATATCATAAAAAAAATATCATCCACTGTTTCTTCTGTTGTCATTTTTAAGATCATACAATAATATGTTCTACCTAGTATCTTATGTAACATATAAAGTATTTCCAAAATACATGCTATGCAGATAGTGTATAATAGTTTACTCAGTATACATGTAATGCTCTCTTTGCAATGATACGATGTGTTTATTGGTCTTTTCTAAACAAGGGCTATAACATTAGGAATAATTAAAGTTTCTTAACTAACAGGAACTTTACTGATAAATCAGAGGAACCTGATCTCGTCTGGGTTTCTTGAATTGTGATTTAGATACTTGTTGTGGTCACATGTCTGTTTTCTAAGTATTATAAAGACAGATTAATTAAGCTATAGTAAAAATAAAACTGAACAATAAATAACATTAGGAATGCGAAGCTGAGTTTAGATATACAGATTTCAGTAAACCAACTTGATAACTGTAGAACTGAGACTAAGAAAGGTATTTACTGCAAATTTTGTCAGATTTGAAAACATGGACTATAATGAAACTATATTGGTAAGAAGAAAGACAGTAAAAATAAATTTGTCATCTATTAGCAAACTACTTAATGACTAAGAAAACATTCAGTATTTGCAGCTATGACAACTACAATAAGAATGGCTGTTCTGTAATGTAATGATGCAATTTGATTTTAAGATAATTTCTAATTATAATAATAATAGCAAAATTAAAACAAGTTGTGAATTAGAAGATTTTTTTGTATCAAGGTATTTTACTTTTGTACCTAGACAAGTATTATCATAATTTATGTATGTTTGTAACTATAAATTTTTTTATATGTTGATACAAATACTGTAACTATTGTAAAGCTATTTCTTACATTAGAGCTGCATTATTAGTTGTTGATACTACTTGTTTTAGTATTTATGTTTTATTTAGAAACATTAGTGTTGCTTTAGGTTTGTATGGAAAGAAGTTTATTAACAGTGCTTTTGAATATTATTGAAATTATATAAAAATAATTTGATAATTTTTCTTGGGAAATAAGCTACTAAAGCCTTTTTCAGGGCTTCAGTTTATTTAAATACTATGCCACATAAAATATTCAGTGTAATTTCCTCATTCATATAAATATTTATACAATGGATGTTTTATTTCTTATTCTGTTAAATATTTCTTTTTATTCTCATAACAGTAAAAGTTTTTTTCACATACATTTATGTATTGCTTTGTGTATATGGTTATCAATTAATGATTTATTTGCTGTCTCAGTTTCTTTCTCTCATGTTATCTTGAATTTCTGTTTACATTTTTCTCATTTACTAGTTGATGATGCTTATACCACACATCCTTTATTAGTTGTGTAGCATGCTCATATATCTTCCATAAAATTTTCATGTTAATATCACACATTCTGTCTAAAGGTATTTTAACACCATACATCTTCTTCAGATATATATAATTTTGATAGTAAATATTTTGTATAAATTAAATCACAAAGGACAAAGAATGTCAAACTGTACAGTTTGTACACGTGAACTTTGAAAGATCAGTGTATGTAGTTAGCCTATTAGTTTACTTCAGCAGCTGTAACAGTCAACAAATTTAGTTTTTTTAAATGAAAATAGGAAGACAAACTAATGGAAAATATTTTCACAAAAAATCTTTATTGGAAATTTATTAAGTACACAGATATACAGTATAAAGTTATGTTATATGTATTAGTAAAGTAACTGAAATATTTGATGCTGGGATTCTGAAAAAAATGATTAAATGTGAGTAGTAAAATATATATAAAAACTTTTCCCTTCTGTGCTGCTTGGTGCAAACTTGGTTACTGGTAAGAATAATTTCTATTAATTGATGATGGTTAATTTGTTTGATTGTTATGTTGATTTTTAGTTTAGCTGGTATTATACTTGGGTTCTAACTAACTTTTGTTGTGAATTGTTTTTTTTTATTCTCATTATAATTGCTTTTTAATACTAAAATTGGTAACTGATAAACTTTTCTCTGAACTTTACTATTTCATCAATTATTCCTTTAAACCAGTTATACTTACACATTTAGTTTAGAAATGTGTTTTTTTTTTAAATGTCAGATTACTAAAAGAATCATATACTGTGATATCTATTTTTACTTTTTAGTAACTATGATTATAAGATATATTCATATCTTTCATCTTTTATTAATATACAGTATTTTTCTGCATTCCTTACTAATGGATTAAAATAACCAGCATCAGTAGAAGGTTTAACTGTTGGTTGCATGACAGCCAATCACAATGTAAACTGTTAATATGTGACTTTACTATGGGATAGTTCATTTTCATACAATAGAGGGAGAACAAACCCATAGTCTTTGTATTTTATTCATTGTTTCCATCATTATTTCCAAAACTATATATATATTTATGTATGTATGTGACAAACATCATTCCCACAATCATATTTCATAACTTACTTAAATATGTAATATAAATATTTTGACATTCCCATCAATTTGAGTAACAAAAGATGTGCTTTACTAGCTGTATCCATTAGTCCACATAATTATTCATTACCTCATTGGGCACTGTCAACATCCATTAGCTCACTTGGTCATGTGTCTTTACCTCCTTTTACACTGTTGACATCCATTAGCCCACTTGGTTGTGTGTCTTTACCTCCTTATACACTGTCGTCATCCATTAGCCCACTTGGTTGTGTGTCTTTACCTCCTTATACACTGTCGTCATCCATTAGCCCACTTGGTTGTGTGTCTTTACCTCCTCGTACACTGTCGACATCCATTAGCCCACTTGGTTGTGTGTCTTTACCTCCTTGTACACTGTCGACATCCATTAGCCCATATGGTTGTGTGTCTTTATCTCTTTGTACAATGTCGACATCCATTAGCC